CCATATATTTAAAATCAGATTCTCCTTTACAGCAAAATCCTACAGCTCATCACCCATCTCTCCTCATCTTCATGACGCCTCTTTGAGGGCACATCGAATGCTCACAAGCTCAGGTCTGCATGTGACGTGGTGGTGTGGAGGCACCGTCTTTCAACATTCCAAAGAAAAGCTTGCTAAAGCAGTCATTGAATCAACAAGATATTTATTAAACATATTTTATGTACTAGTCATTGGACCAGGCTTTGGGGATAGGGAGATGAATGAGACATTTCTGTGTCTGAGGAACTTATGATCAAAAAGGGAGGTCATCAAGCATTATTCAGAATGTGCTAAATGCTCTGATAGAGGCCGGACCAGATCGTTAAAGGCCTTATGGCCCACACAAAGGACTTTGTGTTAATACTGCAGCAATAGGCTCTCACTGAAGGCTTTTAAGTAGTGACGGGATTTGTTTGCTGGAAAAGTGACTGGCATTGTGGAGACTTGTTGCTGCAGTGCAGGGGCTGGATCGGAGGAGTGGAAGCAAGTTTGGAAACTGCTGTCATATATTCCGTGCAGGAGATGGGAAGGGCTTGCGTGGTGGTCGTGTGGCTGGAGGCCATCAGTATTTGTGACAGCTTTTTGTGAGCTAGAATTGTAGAACCCATTCATTTAGTTATCAGCCTCTTGGTTACTGTTATAGGAGATGAGGAATAGGGACGACTGGTCCAGGCCTCTTGGTGGTTGGTGGGTCTGTCAAGTGACATAGGAACTACTGGAGGGGGAGGTTTGGGGCATTTAATTTGGAGATACCAGTAGAACATCCAGATGGTATTATCTAATAAAGGGTCAGAAACATGGGTTGGTGCGAGGCTGGTGCTGGGGTCAAGTACTGGGAGCCATCCAGCCTTGTAGGGTAGACGTGGTCGTGCAGGACTGTAGGATGCGGCAGAACTCGGGTGGCAGTGAGGGACAGGCTAATCAAGGAGCAGTAGAGGTAGGAGAACCACAGGGAAGCCAAGGTCATCAGTGTTAATATTGTGTTTTCAGCATGGTCTATTCACATGACTTCTCCTACATATGAGCATCAGAGAGAAGTTCTTTCTATAGAACTCTTAGGTGTCTCTGAATGACAGCATGGATTTGTACACCAAACGGTTATGCTTTGGGACATGCCTGGCCAGCGTGTGCTCCGCTCTGTCTGGGGACAACTGTGAGTGGCTCAGGTATTTCACAAACCCCCACTTCCCTGAAGGGGTCTCAGATGGTGTGTGTTTTCTGAGTGCTGGGAGGGAGGTTAACAGATGATTCCTAGATTCCTCCTTCCTCAGTTCATGGGCAGCCTTTGTGCGAATCACGACTCCCGCCACCTCCTTCCTGTGGCCCTTTATACTGCACAGGGTGGTGCCACTCACCTGTCATGAAAATCCTCCTGGCCCCTCTCCCAGGCTTATGGTGGAGAGACGACACTCTGGTCTAGTGTCTCATTCTCTTGTTAGGGCTTCTAATGAGAAACTTTCCTCCACAGTAATTCCCTTTGTGAAGTTTATTGTACTCTGTGCTCTTGACCAGAGGAGGGAAATCATTCAATGCAGGTTTGGCCTAGAGTAGCAGTTCTCAAACTTTTTGGTCTCAGGACCCCTTCACACTCCAANGCTTTTTTAGAAAATTGTAGATATTCTTCATGGGTCAAGATTTTTTAAAATTAGTAACTTTACTCCTTTATCAAGGACATTCTTAATAAACCTGGGCTTTCTTTTGTTTTTGTTTTTAACTGTGAGTACAGGATACTGAAGCATACGATGACTTCTGGTATGTGCTAAGGTGCTGGCAATTTCATCCACTATTGCTTTTGCATTAACAATGCAAATGTCTATACAAGCGAAAAGACAAACAACATCTTAGTATTATTATGGAAATAATTTTATTCTCACGGATCCCTTCAAAGATCTCAGGGACTCCAGGGGCCATAGACTAAGTATTTAGAGCTGCTAGCCTAGAGGACTTGATGTGCAGGAGCTACTAATGTCCCCTGAGTCCAGGTCCTTCCACAGAAAGTAGGAGAAACAGCACTTGAACCCTTGTAAAGTCACCTCCTTGGCGTCTGTGAATAAATGTCTTCTACCACCATACCCATCACTGTTTATAAATGTTGTTTCTCTCCAATATGTCGATCAGAGTCTGCCTCCTGAGATATCTTAAATAGGGAATGCAATGTTTATTGTCATAGGAAGGTACGTGAGGGCAACACCCAAACATCATTCAATACTGTGCCATTCAGTGCGATAGCCACTAGCCACGTGTGGCGATTGAGCATTTGAAATGGAGTCCAAATTGAGACAAGCTGTGAGTGTAAAATATACACCAGATTTTGAAGACTTAGTACAAAAAAAGTAAAGAATCTCATTAACAATTTTTGTATTGGTTTTATGCTGACATAATATTTTGGATGTTTTGGGTTAAATAAAACATAATATTAAAATTAATTTTACTTTTAAAAAAACTTTCTAATGGTGGCTACTAAAAATTTTAAATTATTTATGTGGCTCACATTATATATTAGACTGTACTGATTCAATATATCAGCATGAGCTGTTAATACTAATTGTAATCATTAGTTCGCCTCAGTAGCTTTTATGGTACAAAGTGATAAACACCCAAGGAAAGCCCTTGGCCAGCCTGTCTTCATTTGGACACACCTGGGGACGTTTAAGGTAAAGAAAATGAGGGTAGCCTGGCTTTCTCTTTAAATAAGAGGTTTAAGTTTGACAACTTAAACCCACTTTAGCCTAACATCCGTCCCCTGAATGACGTCCTTTCTCCTTCGGCTTTCCACTGCTAGTCCAGTGTGACCCAGCTTTGGGAGTGTTTCTTTTAGACTATCAAAAAACGTATTTTCCTCCAGTAGAAGTTGGTATACACCTGTTTTTCCCTTGTAAATGGATTTGCCAGATGTTTTGGTTATAGACAAAGGAACAAGGTCTTTGTTGCTTACAAGGACCCCATTGTGATGCTTATTGTTTATTGAATCACAAATGCCAGCTGCTGCCCCCATCCGATCTGAGGAAGGCGTCTAGGCACCACCATTCTCAGACTCGCAGTGACAGTTTCTTGGAGTAAATCAGACTTCGTGTGTGTGTGTGTGTGTGTGTGTGTGTGTGTTGTGTTGTGTTGTGTTGTGTGTGTGTGGTGTGTGTTGTGTGTGTTGTGCGTGTGCGTGTTTGTGTGCGTGTGTTGTGTTGTGTGTGTGTGTTGTGTTGTGTGCGTGTGTTGTGTTGTGTGCGTGTGTTGTGTGTGTGTTGTGTTGTGTGCATTGTGTTGTGTGCGTGTGTGTGCGTGTGTTGTGTGCGTGTGTTGTGTGTGTGTTGTGTGCGTGTGTTGTGTGTGTGTGTTGTGTGTGTGTGTGTTCATGTGTTTTGCTTTCTGCAGTCCTCTTACCTCCTGGTGAGAACAGCTTTTATTTTTAAGTGAGAGTAATCTGAGTTTTCATTCACTTCTTTTAAATTTAAAGAATCACCCAGGGCATAGTACATAAGTCAGCCCGCTTTTCATGTTGCCCTGAGCACCCTCCAAATAGTTGGCTGTGGGCAGAGGCGAAAGGGAGAAAATCAGGACTGGGGAAGAGGGGAACCTTTACTTNGGCCGGCCCTGGAATGTTTGTTTGGATATGTTGTTTTGGTTCAAGTATATAATGAGCTACACAGACGTGGAGTTTGAAAAGGGAGGAGTATTTTAATGCTTTTTTAGAAAATTGTAGATATTCTTCATGGGTCAAGATTTTTTAAAATTAGTAACTTTTACTCCTTTATCAAGGACATTCTTAATAAACCTGAGCTTTCTTTTGTTTTTGTTTTTAACTGTGAGTACAGGATACTGAAGAATACGATGACTTCGACTGTGAGTACAGGATACTGAAGCATACGATGACTTCTGGTATGTGCTAAGGTGCTGGCAATTTCATCCACTATTGCTTTTGCATTAACAATGCAAATGTCTATACAAGCGAAAAGACAAACAACATCTTAGTATTATTATGGAAATAATTTTATTCTCACGGATCCCTTCAAAGATCTCAGGGACTCCAGGGGCCATAGACTGAATATTTAGAGCTGCTAGCCTAGAGGACTTGAGGTGCAGGAGCTACTAATGTCCCTTGAGTCCAGGTCCTTCCATAGAAAGTAGGAGAAACAGCACTTGAACGCTTGTAAAGTCATCTCCTTGGCGTCTGTGAATAAATGTCTTCTACCACCATACCCATCACTGTTTATAAATGTTGTTTCTCTCCAATATGTCAATCAGAGTCTGCCTCCTGAGATATCTTAAATAGGGAATGCAATGTTTATTGTCACAGGAAGGTACGTGAGGGCAACACCCAAACATCATTCAATACTGTGCCATTCAGTGCGATAGCCACTAGCCACGTGTGGCGATTGAGCATTTGAAATAGTGGGAGTCCAAATTGAGACAAGCTGTGAGTGTAAAATATACACCAGATTTTGAAGACTTAGTACAAAAAAAGTAAAGAATCTCATTAACAATTTTTGTATTGGTTATATGCTGAAATAATATTTTGGATGTATTGGGTTAAATAAAACAATATTAAAATTAATTTTACTTTTAAAAAAACTTTCTAATGGTGGCTACTAAAAATTTTAAATTATTTATGTGGCTCACATTATATATTAGACTGTACTGATTCAATATATCAGCATGAGCTGTTAATACTAATTGTAATCATTAGTTCGCCTCAGTAGCTTTTATGGTACAAAGTGATAAACACCCAAGGAAAGCCCTTGGCCAGCCTGTCTTCATTTGGACACACCTGGGGACGTTTAAGGTAAAGAAAATGAGGGTAGCCTGGCTTTCTCTTTAAATAAGAGGTTTAAGTTTGACAACTTAAACCCACTTTAGCCTAACATCCGTCCCCTGAATGACGTCCTTTCTCCTTCGGCTTTCCACTGCTAGTCCAGTGTGACCCAGCTTTGGGAGTGTTTCTTTTAGACTATCAAAAAACGTATTTTCCTCCAGTAGAAGTTGGTATACACCTGTTTTTCCCTTGTAAATGGATTTGCCAGATGTTTTGGTTATAGACAAAGGAACAAGGTCTTTGTTGCTTACAAGGACCCCATTGTGATGCTTATTGTTTATTGAATCACAAATGCCAGCTGCTGCCCCCATCCGATCTGAGGAAGGCGTCTAGGCACCACCATTCTCAGACTCGCAGTGACAGTTTCTTGGAGTAAATCAGACTTCGTGTGTGTGTGTGTGTGTTGTGTGTGTGTTGTGTTGTGTGTGTGTTGTGTGCGTGTGTTTGTGTGTGTTGTGCGTGTGTTGTGTGTGTTGTGTTGTGTGCGTGTTTGTGTGCGTGTTGTGTGTTGTGCGTGTGTTGTGCGTGTGTTGTGTTGTGTGCGTGTGTTGTGTGTGTGTTGTGTGTGTGTGTGTTCATGTGTTTTGCTTTCTGCAGTCCTCTTACCTCCTGGTGAGAACAGCTTTTATTTTTAAGTGAGAGTAATCTGAGTTTTCATTCACTTCTTTTAAATTTAAAGAATCACCCAGGGCATAGTACATAAGTCAGCCCGCTTTTCATGTTGCCCTGAGCACCCTCCAAATAGTTGGCTGTGGGCAGAGGCGAAAGGGAGAAAATCAGGACTGGGGAAGAGGGGAACCTTTACTTATGCTTTTGAAACATTTAGAAGCTGATTTTATTGATGCGTAATTTACATACAATTACATACACAGATCTTAAGTGTTCAGTTCTTTAAGTTTCAATAACTATATTTATTCGTGTAACCACAAATCTTGGTAAAGAACATTAATCATCCCCCCCAATTCCCTGTGCCCCTTGCAGTGAATCCCCCAACCCTGAGGTCAGTTTTCTAGTGCCACAGACTAGTGTTTCCTGGCTTTGAAAGAATAAACTCCAATAGTATGTAATCTTTGGTGACTGGTTTCTTTTACTTAACATGTTATTTTTGAGATTTATCCACATTGTTGCATGTGTCAGTTCTTAGTTCCTTTTAGTTGCTCAGTAGTGTTCTATTGTGAATATATTACTGTTTCTTTATTCTCTGTCGATGAAGATCCAGGTTGATTCCAGTTTGGGGCTGTTATGAGTATTTATGTCCAAGTTCTTTTGTAGACATATGTTTTCATCCCTCTTGGTAAATGCCTAGAAATGGGATTGCTGGATCGTAGGGTCACTCGTGCTTTTTGGAACGGTCAATGGGTAGAACTGTAGCTGTTCCATCCCACAGGTTCTAACCAGTGCCCTAGCAGCAGTTCACCACCTGAGGATAATTTTGGCACAGGCCTGATAACACTTTACAGTTTTCCTAATCCCCTCATATATATCCTTTCATTGGAACCTCAACTGGTGTGGGGTGATAGGTGAGGCAGCTGTTCTCTCCATTTTAATAGGGGAAGACACTGTGACTTGGAGAGATTAGGTGGTTTGCCCATCATCTTTTTGCTACGGGTGGAGCGAGGACTAGAACCCAGGAGTCCTGGCTCTCAGTTCCACTCTCATTCCACTAGTCCGTTCTTCCCGGACAGGCATGCATTCACAGACAGCAAGAAGAGGGTCAAGAAAACTCTCTCAGGAAACACAAAGCTAAATACTTTACAAATCCATGTATTGTCTTTGCAGTTGACCAGCCAGGATAAGACCCCTGCCGTGATCCAGAGAGCAATGCTGAAGCACAATCTGGACTCGGACCCCGCCGAGGAGTATGAGCTGGTGCAGGTCATCTCAGAGGACAAAGGTGGGCGTGTGTTCCTTCTCAAGACAGGTGGCTAGCAGCATGTCCATAATGCTCCCCAGTTTTATTTTTTTTTATTTTTATTTTTTTTCCTTTTTGTCTTTTTTTTACTGACCGGTAACGGGATCGCA